CTTGCTCATGGATAGGAAGAATAAACATTGTGAAAATGGCCATTCTCCCAAAACTTTTATACAGATTCAAAGCAATCCGAATAAAAATACCATCAACATACCTTTTTGATCTAGAGAAATCACTCCTAAAATTCATCTGGAACCAGAAGAGACCTAGAATAGCAAAGGCAATTCTAAGCAGCAAAGGCAAGGCAGGAGGCATCACAATCCCTGACTTGAAGTTATACTACAAAGCAACAGTGGTAAAATCAACATGGTATTGGAATCAAAACAGAGCTGAAGATCAATGGAATAGATTAGAAGATACAATCACAACTACAAACACACTCAACCACCTTATCTTTGATAAAGGAGCCAAGCAGGTTCACTGGAAGAACGACAGTCTCTTTAATAAATGATGCTGGAAAAACTGGCTCTCCATTTGCCAAAAACTAAAGCTAGACCCATGTCTATCACCATATACTAAATTAAAATCTAAATGGGTCAAAGACCTGAATATTAAAACAGAAACACTAAATCTATTGGAAGACAAATTGGGTAGAAACCTTGAAGACATAGGAGTAGGTAGAGAATTCATGAACAGGACTCAAACCACACAGGAAATATTTCCCAGAATCAATAACTGGGACTACTTCTTATTAAAAAGTTTCTGCATGTCAAAACAACTCTCCAGCATAGTGAAAAGAAAACCCACAAACTGGGAAAAGATTTTAGTGAACTCTCTCTCAGACAAGGGATTCTCGTCTAAAACATGTAGAATTAAAAAAACTCAGACCCCCAAAATTCAAAGATCCAATCCAAAAATGGACATCTGAGATGAATACGTGCTTCTCAGATGAAGAAATACATATGGCAAATAAATACATGAAAAAATGTTCATCATCATTGGTCATTAGATAAATGCAAATTAAAACCACACTGAGATACCATCTCACTGCTGAAAGAATGACCAGGATCAAGAAAACCACCAACAACTAATGCTGGAGAGGCTGTGGGGTAAAAGGAACTCTCCTACACTGTTGGTGGGAGTGTAGACTGGTGCAACCTTTGTGGAGGTCAGTCTGGAGATTTCTCAAAAACCTGGGATTGGAAGTCCCATTTATTCCAGCTATTCCACTTCTAGGCATATTCCCAGAAGAACTGAAAGCATCATACCACAGTGATATATGCAGACCTATGTTTATAGCAGCACAATTTGTAATCGCCAGATCTTGGAAACAACCCAAATGTCCATGAACTGAGGAATGGATAAAAAAGTTGTGGTATTTCTATACAATGGAGTATTATTCACCTATAAAGAAGGATCACATTGAGATATTTATCAATAAATGGGCGCAGCTTGAGACCATACTCATAAGTGAAAAAATCAATCTCGCATGTGTGAATACCGAATAGCTTCCCTAATTAAGTAATGATTCATCTATATAAAAATATATGGTAATCATGATTCTCCATTATGTGGCCTTGAAGCCTTGTAAAGTTTTCACTTCTTAATTGGAAAGGCTTTATTCTGGGCTTCTTGATATGGAAATATTTGAAGCTATAGTATATGAAGTTTTATTCAAATATTTCAAGGAACAAGACAGACATATGGTAACTACTATTAAGTCAGGTTATTTGGTGGTGAAGCACTAGGTTGCTGAAACAATCATGCTTTGACCTGTATTGTTGCATTGTTATGTCCTGTTTTATCTCAATCTCTCCCATATTCATTAAAAATTATTTAGTTATTTTTTATGTTTTTTTAATTAAGGGGAAAAATTTAAAAAAATTAGCATGATATATAATAGTAACTTTTTTGATTTCCTATTAACTTGTTTTGAAGTCCTGTAATAGTCCCACGATCTTGTTTTGACTGATTAGACTCTGTTCCATTCTGTATGATAGTATCAAGTTTGAGGGTACAGACAACTACTTTGAAGGCAATAAGATTCACTAAGATGCCCATTCTGGCTTGACTGTTGTCTCCCCTGGGAAGACCTGTAATGTTTACAATGCTTAAGTTTTATTGGTCTTGTTCTCTACTGTTTTGTTCAACTTTATAATATCTAATGAGATAGACAATTCTTTTTAAAGAAACAAGAGACATTGTTGATAACCATTGTTGATAACCTTGTACTCTGTTTTACATCATGTGCTATGTCTATCCTTGGTTTTGACTGACAGCTTTGTTTTGCCATATTTGACTTTATTGTTTCCCCAAAAAGTAATAAGAACTAAGGCATAATAAAACCCAAAATGTGTAAATTTTGTTTTAAAAATAGAGGGAAAAAAAGTGCTCTAAAGGATACAACAGCAAGTGTGTTTAGGGGTGTTAAATAGCTGACCATATTAATGTTTTTGTTTGGATCATTGAACTCAACTGTTTGCAGTCTCATTGTTTGAATGTCCACTTTGTATGGTTTGATACTGTGATTTGAGCAAGTATCTGTAAGATGAAAATATATAATCTATTTACTGGTGATTTCTTACTGTTTTTTTTTGTAGTTCTGTATTACTCATACCCTTACACTGCTTTGTTTTGTTTTGTTTTTTTCTCTTTTTCCTCATACCTAAAATTTTAAAAAAAGAATACTGAGTGGTAGATGATTAAAAACACTACCATTTGTAAGTAAAAGTTTGCCATGGTGGACGATCTTATATACTACTATGACAAGAACAAGAAAAGCAAAATACATAGATGCATACAGTTAAACAAGAATGTATTAGATGTGATGTGCATTTTTGACACAGATTTTCGTGTTTCAAATTCTATTTAATACCCATCATATGAAAGTACACTCTTCCAGGAGCTCTTCATATTAAGAATGGAGAAGCAAGCACACATGGAAGGAGGAGAGAATTTTCAAGGTCTGAAGAATCTGAATGCAGCAATCAACTGCGATAAAAACCTTTCGCAAAAATGTGAGGTTTTCTTTGCATGGAAATATGAACTCCAAGGTAATACATGTACTCTATGGAAAACATTTGTCAAGGAAGGGTTTATTGCATTTCTTTTTTGTCTGCATGTCTAAATGTAGCTCCTCTACTTGCATTGACAAAATTACAGATAGTTTCCAGTTCAAATGACACTGATTTTCAAGATGGTGACAGTGTAAACCTATTGCCCAATACATCCAGTTAGGTAAATTAAAACAGTCAGATTTTGAAAGTTAGTCATGCTGCAGTAAAGTAACTCAAAAGTGAATAATTGTGTTCCTGAGTTCTTGCGTTGTTCTCATGACTACATTTTATTTTTTGTGTTAATAGTGACTGAATCTGAGACCTTACATGTGCCAGGCACAGTAGGACATGAACAAGCTACATCTCAAAATTGTGCACAAAAAATTTATATTAAAACAAGATGTTTTATTACGAAAGTGGTACAAACTTTCAAAACAGAGTGTTGGAGATTAACAATGCTTTGTTTATTGCTTACTACTATCTTAAAAGATAGTACTAAGCTCCTTTTGCAAGATATGAGCATGAAAAATTGATCAATTTACACAGAAAACTTTCTTTCCAAAGGCCTTTTAAAAATCTAATTAACATAGATAACTGCAATAAACAATGAATTTTTATTTTAAAATAAAAGCACAAAAATAAAAAGCAATGGAACAAACAAATAAGAAACCATTCACAGCAGTATCAATAACAACAAGTAAAACAAGAGTGATATAGCATTTCCAAACAAGATGATAGGAATTTAATGGGCGTTAGAATGCTTATTGCTGGCTTCAAAATGCTTGCTTATGTTGTCATACGCAGGCATGCAAAATTGAACAAAGAATATGATTTCCCTTTGAACAATTTCTTTCCTTTTCAAAGTATCTATTGTGATTTTCGAACCATATTCTCTTTCAGTTTCTTACACAAATGAAAAAATAACGTGTTTACATATGTGAATCTGATTTATTTCACTTATGATAATGGTCTCTATTTGTATCCGTTGACCTATAAAATCCTCTAGTTTATCCTTCTTTATAGCTGAATGATACTCAATTGTTTAAAAATACTACATCCTGCTTAACCATTCCCCAGTTGATCAGCATTGGGATTGTTTCCAAGATCAGGCTACCACAAATTGTGCAGCTACAAACATGGGTGTTCATATATCACTGTCATTTGAGGCTTTCAATTGTTCTTGGTAAAAATCCAGAAGGACAATTGCTGGATTGAATGGAACCTCTAATGCTAATTTTTTGAGGAACCCAGACACTGGTTACCATAGCAATTTTAAACGCCAATAAATATATAAAAAATTATTCAACCTCATTGGTCATTCAAGAAATGCTAATTAAAACAACACTGAGATAACATCTAACTTCCCAAAGAATGGCTAACATATAGAAATCAACATATGACAAATGTTGGAGGGGTTATGGGGAAAAAGGAACATTTGAAGATTGTTGCTGGGAGTGTACAATGATTTTTAAAACAATCATTTAAAAAAATGGTCATGAGATTGTATTTGCAGTATAAATTAAAAACTTGGATCTAACATACAAGTATAAGTGAAAGAAACCAAAGACTGTAAAATGAGTGAGTTATAAAAGAATATTGAAAGTCTTAAAACTCACTTAAGTGTATAGTAATTACAGATAGTAATTACATACATACATATATATATATATATATATATATATATATATATATATTTCACAGATAAAAGTAAACTGAAATTTGTAACTAATTGAGACTGGAGAGAAAAATATTCCACACAAAAAACAAGGAATCAACAAGCACAAACAGAAAAAACAGAGAGAAAAACAGGAACAAACAAAGGAACTGAATAAGAAAATCAAACACCTCCAAGTGTAAAATAAAATTATATGAGTCATAAACATTAAAAAGCATTTCCTTTGAACAGCTAAAAACATTTCTATATACCATGGCACACCTACCTCAACAGTAAAATGAGCTCACATTTGTGCTTTGGGCTTTGCAACGGATGAGTGCATGCAGTACCAAAGATTTGAAAATCAAACTGATTCCCATGTCTGAAGAGGTGAGATGTGTGCTCACTTCTTCCACATGCACCTGCATACACAGTGTTCACGAGTCATGAGAATAAATGGACTAGCAGTAGGGAAACAAGCATTGGTTAAGGCAGAAGTTTTAACCAACCACCAAGCAGATCTGTCATAAATAGAAAACCAAATGTATGTGATGGAAGACAGGGCATAAAAGGAAACAAAGGCACAGACCAAGATGAAGATGCTTTGAGAAGCTCTGGTTTCAGGGGAAGTTCTCGAGGAACTGTTGTATCTGTGAATGTGCTTTGTTCGCTGCTTGTGCCTGTATAGAATGAAAACCATGGAGCCACTGCTCCAGATCATAAGTTTCAACCACAAAATATCATGTGATAAAGACAATGATGCAAAAATGGTATTTTTGTCCTGGGTAGTAGTTGTAGCTGAACAGTATAGATAATTTATAGTGTTTGTTAAATTTTCATTGTTGGTTTTTTCACTCACAAGCATAGGAACTCTGATGTTTGCCAGCATGTGCAGGACCCAGAAAAGGATGGTACAGTGCCCAATGTATTTTATGGCTTTCACTTTCAATTCTGTCCACCTGGTGCTCCTGGGGCTGATGGTGATGGCCTGGAAGACACTCAGCAGGCAGGTGGTGCTGAAAGACACACCCTTGCCCACCATTAAAACATAGAAAACAAGTTTGCACCCAAAATTATTAAGAAAGTCTTTCATCCCAAGAGCTGACATGGTGTCTGGGATTCCTCGGGAGAGAATGACTAACAGGTTGGCCACTGTCAGGTTTGTGAGAATAAAATCTGTTGGCCTAGACCTGCTTCCACTGAAGTAAATGAAGACATATTGGCATAAAAGTGAGAGATTCCCCAGGCTTCCAATGCAAATGGGGAAAAGTAGGAGGGTGAAAAATTTTAGATCCACAGATGTCATTGTTCTACCATGCAGGATTCATAGCAACATTTTAAAATGCTGGGTTCTGTATAGAGACATATTCCTTGAGGCAAAGATTTCCTATAAAATGAGTTCAAAATTATGCACATTTTCTTCCTTAAAATTTAATTTCAACTGTATATTTTGTGTTTTTAAATATTAAATGCTCTTCTTCATTATATATCATTTTAAATGTATGGCTCATGTGGTTCATGGCTTACCATGGAATACCAACATACTTATGCCTCACAATATGGTGGTTAGTACCTAACAATATGTGCTATGAAGAAAAAGCGTGTTTACTAAAGAGAAGGTATGTGACTCATCTCAGTGTCAATAAAATACTTGGACCTGTGAGGCAGCCTTCAGTGACTTTGTGCTTATTTGAGTGCTGTTTTATCACAGTGTCAGAATGATGGTGATTTCAGAAGTCATGTATGTAATTTGGCATATTTGACAACTTCCTATAAAAGAGTTTGGCTGTGCTAATCCCCATTCTGTGTCAATGTTTTATTTATGCTACACAGTCACTTCTAAGGGAATAGTCACGCCTTGAAAAAAATGGACTATTTAATCTCTTAAAATCAGTTTGTATTTGTTTAATAAATATCAATATTATAATAATACAATTTTTGCTAATATCACTTAACAGAATTACATATAATATTGATTTTATTCTCTTAGATAATACAGTAGATATGAAATTTAAGTCAGAAGCTTAACCTTCATTGGACATCTTACTATCTTTTATTAATTTAGAAAATAAAGTAGTACCATGCCATTTGATAATGCTGTTAGAGCATATCATGTGTGACAAATAGAATTTAAGTCTTCCTCCCACATGAATGGCAATGGCCCATTGGTCATGTAATCACAATTTGACCTTAAAGTTTTAAAACATGTCAAATATAAGAAGACACATTTGAATCTGAAACAATTTGGCCTCCTAGTTTCTCTGCAGTTTAATTATCAAACTATTAATTGGAATTTTATGAAAACTACCTTTCCAAATGACAAGAGAACTAATCCCCAACATATATTTTCATATAATTGTCTATAAATATTTTCAAAGACACCTAGAAACCATTGCTTTTCATTACCTTAGCCCCAATGAGGGAAAATTCATTATCCAGCTGAAATTGCCAGTTGAACACATTGATTATACATTACAATGCTGGCTCAAATTTCTCTACCCTACTCATTATAACAACCAAGAGCATTCACTGAGGCAACAGTGCAAGTGATAAAAGTTTATCTGTGATTGCTACACAACACACTGAACAGCACACTGATTTCATGATTGCAATCTTATGGATCTTCCAAATGAGGTGGCATTACTTCTTGGGGCTGTAGTCACAACCATCTTCACATGAAAAGTGGTTAGAGGCTGGTGAGGTCTTAGACCTCCAGTCTGTGTCTGCAGCTTAGCCTGGGCCTCAGGAATCATCCTTCCTCCCTCTGTGTCTCTGTCACCCAAGATGAATTTCTTTTCCAGACATGGAGTCTCACTCAAACATAGACCCTGCATCACTTCACTCTCTTATAGCCTTTATTTCACAGACTAGAACAGAAAATACTCACCTAGCACTTACCTGCTTCTTGATTAGCAGGCATAGGTAACAGTCATGAACCCTCCTGCTTTTGTGGGAGAGAAGTGGCCAGACCCCAATATGTGGGTCACGGTTTTGTGATCTCAACTCCCCCTTGAACACAATTACCACTTCACCTGTAATTTCCTTGACAATGCATGTTCGGACACTAGAGACAAATGCAAGAAATAACTAAAGAAACAAATAAGTTCTTTCTGGGTCCCAATTCCCAGACACAATTAGAAGTTTCTTTGGGCATCTCCATACAAAGTTTGAGTCCCTTGGAGAGCCCTTCTCAGCAGCTACTGGAGCATAGTCCCATAGGGTGCAAGGAGAAAACTTTAGTATCTGAAAGATGAAGAAAATTCAGTGACACTTGTGTATTTTCCTAAATATACCTGATGCACAAATATATGTACTTATGTGTGTACTTGTGTAAACATATTGATTTAAAATACATAAACATAGAAATTATATATATATATATATACATATATAATTATACAATTAGGATATATATAAATTTATTTGTTAAACAGTTAAATAAGATTTCAACCATTTTTTGAATTGCAACAAACACAACACTGTTACTGATCTTAATTACAACAATGTAAAGTGTGTCCCTAGAACTTACTACTTCCTAACAGGAGATCTAGCCAGTGCACCCCAGGCCTGGGTCACCATTGTCAACATTCTGCACCTGATTTACATCCCACATACACATGAGATCCTGTAGCATTTCTTCCTTTGCACCTGGATAATTTATTGTGATATAAAATTGTTGCTGTTTATGTATATTATTCACAATGATAGGCTCTCATTTTTAAAGACAGATCAGGTTTCTTTGTTGTTTTTTTTTGAGGCAACATTTCACTATGTATTTAAGACTCATATTAAAATCTCTATGCAGCCTAGTGTCACATTGAACTCATGGCAATCCTTCTACTTTAACCTTCTGAGTGCTGGAACTAGTGATGCTCCACTGTACCCAAAGTGATGGAGTAGTTTTTCATTGCACCTTGACATTATATTATCCATATTCATTCACCCATTGATAGCCACTTAGGTGGTATATCCTAAGCATTGTGAACAATGCTACACAAAATAGAGAAGTGTAGCTTTTGCTTCAACATACTGATTTAATTTATTCCAGATATATGCCCCCTAGGCTTGACAGACAATCTATCTGGTAGATGCATTTTTAATTCCTTCAGAAATCTCTTTCCTATTTTTCACTGTGACAGCAACTTACATTTCTCCCAATAGTGTCTGAAGATTGCCTTTTTTCCACACCCCAGTCACCTTGAGTCATTCTATCAGGTATGATGTGGTATCTCTCCAAGTTTTGAATTTGTATTTCCTAATGATTTATGAATTTGAACATTTTTTCACACATAAACAGACCACATGTTTTCTCTGAGAAATATCTATTCTGTACTTTGGCAATTTCTTTTTTGGGGCTGTTAAATAATAAGCTATTATTTACTCTTTGTTTTACGCTTTTGAGTTTTTAAATTTCTACATGTTTGCAAGACACAATGATTACATTAATCTGGAGAGTAGTTGGTACATGTACATTTCTGACAATGATCAGCTTGATTAAAGAAGATGAACTGTCACAGAAGAACTCTACAGTTCGTAAGTTAACCCCCCACAAAGCCATAAGAAGTGTACTAAATAATTATCAGTATGGGTTTCACCATAAAGGAAAAAACTGCCTTGTAGGCCATATAGGGTGATCTATTGAAAGAGTTGAACAATACTAATCAAAAACACTTTATGAGGAAAAACTGTTATTTATTAATAAAAGAGAAGTTCCAAGATAATAAATGATAAATGGATTTTGAGATTTTATACCCTAATTATGAAAATGGTGACAATTTTAAAATATTTCCACTAACTGGATCTCTGATGTGCATCTTAATGAACTAGAATATAAATATAAGTCATTACCCTGGGGAAATATTTCAGAAGACTTATGGTCTTTTCACAAATTTTATAAAAGAAACAGTTATATCCACTAACTTCATCTCCTTTAAATTTGAGCCTACTCATTTATTTATAGATATATCGATGAATTAAAAACCAACCAAATTTGAGGACAGAGGAAAATTACCCATGATTTCAGAAGCATAAAAACTGAAGAGATTGTACAATGAATTTTTCAGTCCTGAGATGGCATTTGGGGATTGAAAATGTTCAGAATAAAGGCCTGAATGAAACCAATTTGTTTTCTACACATGCATCTTTCGCATAATAATTCGAATAAATTGGGTAAGCAGAAAAACCATGAGGTATAATTGATGGACCAAAGCTCATATCTGTTCTCAGAAATGATATATGTGTGAATATTTGGAATCAAAACGGAAAAATAATGCAAGAGTACATTTTATAAAATCATACTTTGCAAGATATACAAAAAGTTTGATATACTATGAAAATAAGGCTAGAATCAAAATTAATATATTTTTAAAATGCAGCTATACGTAATTTATATTTTTTCATTTATATAAAGTTACAGAAAACCTTGTGTGCCATGAGCTTGACAGACCCATTTTATTCTTTTCTGAAACTCAGTTTTATACTCAGCCTGTTTTCTATGTTTCAAGCTATAAATATATATATTTTTTTCTTTCTTTTTTTTTGGTACCGCGTAGCAAACTCATAACTTCATGCTTGCTTACTTGCTTGCCAGGCACTTATACCCCTGAGCTGAATCCCTAGTCCCTATATTTCAGTTTTTATATTTGCATTTTCACTTTATTTTTAATTTCAATAATTTGTTCTTTGCACTGGTAATCAAACTCATAACTGCATTTGCGAGGCAGGCGCTGTGTCACTGTACTATGTCCTCAGCCCTAATTTTGGTAAGTTTTAAAGTCATATTTAGATCCATTTGAGCTATATTATTCTAGCAGAATGAAAATATATCGTAGATGTTATAAGGTACAGCTGTAATTCCAGAACTCTTGGAGGATGGAGCAGGAGGATCACAAGTTTGAACCCAGTCTGGGCAACTGAATGACTTAGTAAAAATTTATCTCAATGTAAAAACTATTAGTGGGAGGGGAGAAGATTGGCTTTCACTGGTTTCAATCCACCGCAGCAAAAATGAAAAGGGAAGATAACTAATGTATAGATTTATTGAAATTCACAGCAATTTTTGATATTATAAATTTTTAATGAAAAGTTTTATGAATGTGAGTAAAATTTATTAATACACATACAAATGGACTGGACTGAAAAAAATATAATGTGCTCCAGGTCTTGTCCATATTATTTTACCTGTAATTTTATAATAGTTTCAAATAATTATATTAAATTTAATATTGGAATGTGCCTTGCGGACTGTTGTTAATCTTTATAGGTTATTGAACTGCCATGTTAGATTCTTTAATAAAGGATTTTTTC